CACACAAAATTTTGATAACAATCGGCCTGGTAGTACTCGTACTCTAGAGGTCATGAAACGTCGAGAAGGCATGAAAGGGGCAAGTCGCCCGATGGATTCGATTACTATACTTTCGTAGCTTACGTTCAAGAAGCAAAAATATTAGCTGACACTGAATTTTTTAAAGAACTGTTTAAGATCTTTCAAAAAAGGATGATAAATTCATCGAAGTGGATTAATTTTATAAAACCATTAAAAAAATGGTGGTTCGACGTAAATTAATCCGTGGAACTTGAAATAAAATATACATTCATACAGTCAATATACATACTTACCGTACGAGTCTAAGGCCAATGATTATGATATGAATGCCTTCATAATCAGTCAATAACCACCTTTAAGTAAACGTAACTATAATAATTATTTTATACTTTTTGAATTTTCATGTCTTTAGTAACTAGTGAAGTCCACATACAGAATGCCATAGCAGGCTTAAATAATTCAAAGTTAGATTGGACTAAGACATGATGTAACAATTTAGTACATTCTATTTTCTAAAAATCCTTAAAAGTTTTTTTTGATGGATCCACAAATACCACCAGATGCAATTACATTATCCATCTAGTGAATCAAGAGACACTATAAAATGCAAAACCAATAAAAAATGTGAACACAAGCCTATAAAATAATGTTAAAAGTTGCTGTGATTAAGTGGACAAAAATACAAATAGAAGTTAACAATTATAGTATTTTTGTTATAAATTATCATATATATTGATAGGAAAAAATCATATATGAAAAGAAAAACACAACAAAAAGCAGTAAGCCAATGGAAAACAATAAGTTGAAAAATGCAGTCTTTTTAAGAGGTAATCAAAAATCTGTATCTTCAGAAATACATCGCAAACAGATGACGAATTTTTTTGCTAGACCTTTCTTTGAATTCAGTTCTTGTAAGTGCAGTATGCGAACCTTAAAACCAAAAAACAAAAAAAAAAGAAGCAAGTCCGAGTGAAAGAGGGATCATACAATTAAATGAAGATGAAAAGTTTGTAAGAAAGAACTTAGTTAAAGCAACAACCAAAGCGCATTTAGTCGAAATAAAACAGAATAATAATAATTGATCATCAGTGTAGCCAATTTATGAGAATTGTTTGTGAATATAAAATGTATTCATTAGTATGACACTCAATTGAAACTGTATTAAATAATTCAGCCTACATTAAAATAAATAATATCTCCTAAAAAAACTAGAAATTAATTACACCGGAATTTTCTTACTTACACCGCACTTGTATTGTCTCCGAAATCCAACACTTTCCAATAAAGTTTAACAACTTTTTTTAAAAAACTATGAGGCAGAATTTTGACAAAAAAAAGTAGGTATTCTAATTTTACGATACTGCATATGTACATTAACATTAATAATAACATTGTTGTATTCTTAAAACTTAGAAAATTTAGGAAACAATATCTAATATCACTGATAAAACCTGTTATCCTGTGTAAAAACAAAAAGTGTTGTCTATTTCTTTAATAATATCTCCAACAAGCTACAGACACAAAGGCAGAAACAGGAAAGCAGAATTTTGGTGTCCTATATGTTGTGAAACCCGAAGAAAACACGAATTTATTCACACTAACTGTACTACGGTCGACTAACAAAAGAAGGAAGAAAATAGTTCAAATTTAATGAAAATGCAAGTAAACTATTTTGCATCAAAAAAACTGTGAAGATTAAATTTGTTGAAGAAAAATTATATCGAAAACGAATTAGGTTAATTAGCAGACATGTTATCATTTATACCCCTCTCGTTGTTGTAAAAACTTACTTGATTTGTTAAAGATAGTTTTAATCAACAACAGCGACAAATATTCTCAACATAAAGGTGCATGTAAGTTCGAGTCATTAATTACAGAAATACCAATAATAATACACGTTAGCTACTAGAGTATTTAATATCGAAATAGTTTGGTTATAAAACAGTGTCTTTTTTAACTGGTAAACTGAAAGGGAGAAAGCTCAAGTGGGCTTTAAGTAATCTTGATAAATTATAGATAGCATAGACTTGGTACAGATTAAGTTAAAGTATTTAATCGAAAGTGACCATTATTGGCAAAAAATACAATTTTATATATTATATACTGTTAGTATAGACGTTAGGTAAGAAAAGAAATAATCGATAGTAACACAACATAATGTGTATTCACAATTTTTCAAAATCCCAACGCCCTTTACAAATACTCAAAAAGAAAACTAAGAGAAAAAGACCATCTTGCAAAAATGAGGTCTAAGTTAGTTACTAGCATTTTTCGTTAAAACTGATTTTGTTCTTGAAAACGTACCACTTGAACTAATAAAACGTTAATTGCTAACAAACTCCTTCTACACAAAACTTAATTGATAAAAAATCCCGGCAATGAACATTTATGAAGAAGAGAAACGAAAACGTCGAACTGATTTAAACAGAAAAAACAACAGGTGCATAATATAATATGAAAACAAAAACCGTTTGCAAGTGATTAACCCTCAAGTGTATGCACTGTGACCACCACGTCATCGTCCGTAGTAAACGCGTAGCATACCGTACTATAGCTACGAAAAGAACAAAATTTAAACTACAGATACTTAGATTTTCAGTAAAAAACAAGCATAAAAATTATTATGATGTAATATTGAAACCGTGTTTAATTGTAAAAGGCAACATATTATAATTTATTATTAACGGATGCGAAGTACCAGAAACGTTTAGTTGATGTGTTAACTGCGCGAACTGTTCAACAAAACGTTAAAATTATAGTTAATTAACATTGATGACGACGACAACCATTAATGTATGAGTCAATAGATACCTACACACTTAAAAAAAAACATTTATCACTTATCAGCAATTAAAAACTGCAGTTAATTCAAAGGATCATATGATGATTAAAATGTCAAAAAACTAAATGAAAGTAACAAATATCATAGATTGCTCGGTGGAAGGGCGAAATAAAAACAGACTATATATCTATAACATATGTAGCTGAAAAAAACTCCATTAAGTAGCATCAGCCAGGCATACGGTTAATAGAAATTAACGCGTTTATTCTGACTAAAGGAAACATCAATTATAGTTAATCCAAAGTTAAAAGTGCAACAAATTATAAAAATGGCATTCGTTGTGTAGATAATTCAATTTATGTAGGTATATATACTTATATGAAATTAGGTACGTACAGTAAAATGGACTATTAGTTGCAGAGATAGCAACACTGGACAACACTTTGATTCTTATAAAAATTTGCCCTGTAGAACATGTGTGGATCATAAACATATGTAATTAAAAATAAGCTACATAAAAAATCATTCAATGGACAATTTTCCTATAAGTGATGCAATAACTTGAAAAATAAGGGCTTCTTAACGCATAGTTTCAACGATATGCACCAAAGAGTAAAGGATATATCTAAGTGCAATTAAAATGTAATCCCCTGCCCAGAAATATTACCCAAAATCTTCACAACTAGCAGAAAATGAGGCTGTATGTATAACTATTGTTTATTTATTAAAAATTTTACTTAGTAAACCACTAAAGGATATCTATTAGGAACCTTAACGACTAGTTAACCAGTGAAGTGACGTGGAAAAATCGTCCTGATGTATTGTGAAACGTCGGACATTATCTGTCAATATATTTTTTAATGGACTTAATTTTTAGTCTTTATAGGTATATTGAGTTTTAATATAGGGAGGGGATTTATTATTTTCGAATATATAGGTACTGTAGAAGCCAGCAATATATTTCAGAAAAAAAAATACTACCTCGTACAGCATATTCGACAACAATGAATATAAAAATGATATTTGTTACAATGACTAAACCAATTTTAATTTTTTTTGAGCTAAACGATGCATGAAAAATTGTATAATTGCCATTAGCAATTACCATAGCGTTAGTGGTGTAATCGCTTAGTAATAATGTAGTGTAAAAAAAATACTATGCTGCATTTCTAAAGAGTTCTATAATGCTCAAAACCAACACTTCTTTTTTTACAGGACACAGTGTTTAAGCAAACATCTGGCATACATCGACATGCATAGGTATAGAACAAAATATTGGAGGCTAATTTCCAGAAATGGTTTGTTATTAATCAACCGTTAATAAACAAATTTTAGAATTTCTTTTAGATAAGTACTACCTACATTACAACAAAAAATTTAAAATTCTACAACAGGTCGAACCTGTTATGTGAGACTAATTCTCTTTTAACAAATATCCACAATTTCAAGGAAATCTCACTTTCCAAGAAATACCAGCAACAGACACTCTGTACAAAAACGCCAAAAAGAAAATTAATAGAAAAATGTCAACTTGTAAAAAATCAGGTTGAAGGTAGTTACAAGCATTTTTCGTTAAAAGTGATTATGTTCTTGGAAACGTGCCACTTGAGCTAATAAAACGTTAATAGCTTACAAACTCCTTCGGCGCAAGACTTAATTGATAAAAATTCCTCACAATGAACACCTATGAAGCGAAAGTAACGAAAACCGCGCGTTGATTTCTCTCCAAAAAAAAAAACCGATCGACAGCCATTGATGGATGTGCAGAAACAAAGACTGTTTTCAAGTGATTAACCCTCAAGTGTACGCACTTTGTCCATCGCGTCATCGTCCGTAAGAAAATCATGCCGAAGAAGAAAACGGCGAATTGGCGGCACATGCGCCTCTGTCATCCCTCTAAAACATCACTCACTAGAAAAACCCTTACAGGCGTGGAAGGGGTACGAAATGCGCACATAGACTATACTTCGATTTTTAACTAAAAAGAATATATCTGCCTTTTACTTGGGCTCCAGCATTGGTTCCGCATATCTCCAACAACGCGGACAGAGAGGGAAAGCGCGACCCCTGCGAGTGCAAGCGAGACAGCACTAAAACAAGACGCGCCGCCAGAGGGCGCCTACGATCAACACGGGGGGAGGAGCCTGGCGCGAAACAGAAGACGGCTGAAGAAGGACAGAGTCGCGGCCAACTCGGATGCACCATGCATGCCTTACTCCGTGACTCAGTGTTGGGATAACAATCCCGACGTGCACACGTGGGCTGATAGGTCCTGAAGAGGGCAGCCGAAACTTCGCGCTTCCGAGTGACATGTAATTCTGCGTGCCGTGTGTGTGAGGGACATTCGATCAGAAGCGTGTTCGCGTGCTGCTCTTCGATTGATTCGAACACGCAAATCGAATTTTGGACGCTGGAAAGAGCAGTTTGTTGTGGTGTTAACTGTTGAGCGTGCAAACATGTTGGATGTGCTGGTGGAGTGACTTGCCAAGACGGCGTTCTTAGCTGAAACCCCCGCCGTGGCTGAGCTAGAGGACCGAATCCGCATGCAGCCTTCGGCCACGGCTTCCATTCCGCCCAACGCGGATATGGACCTGCAGACGGTTCAGTCGATGGACTGGTTGTTCAAGAAGGAAAGGTTCTATCTTCTTGTGCAATTCTGGCAGCAGGTCAGTGCTTTTCAAACATAGTACACTTTACGCTTGGCCCCAGACGTCGCCCGATTTCTGAGTTGACAACAAACGGTGGCACTTGCGATTTCGCGAAAACGTATACCGGCAAGTGACGGGCGCGCGAGACAGTCTGTAACGCGGCTCAGATCTGATGACTTAAAAAACGACGAACTTCTTAAATGACAGTGAGCGCGCTGGACTCACGTTTCTCAGACGGTCCATCAGCGGTTCCGAAATCCGATGACCCTTGTCAAAAAACAAGTGACTAAAATTATTGCAAGTGACGGTAAGCGCGCTGGACTCGCGCTTCCAGACGGTCTGTCAGTGGCTCCTCCGAAGCCCGATGACTGCTAGCAAACATATTCTTTCAAGTTTTTATCGTTATTTATATTTTGGAATCCCAAATTTTTCAAAATATATTAATAAAGTCCAATTGTCCAAAGTGCTTACACAGTCAAAAGGATTTTACCCCGAGACCGCAGTCTCCACTTCTAATAACCCCGAATTTTTATCCACATTTAAACTCATTGTTTATTCAGTGTTTATTTTTCTTTTTTTTTTCTTATCAGTCAAGAATTAAATTCCGGCATCATTCACAGTCTGAAAGCTGCGGTTAATCACAGTTTTATCATTTTTGTCATTTTCCTTTCTAAACCAGGCGACATTTAACTTCCTCACACTTATTCTGTTTATTTACTTGTTATTTCTGGCACTCCGAAATAGTGTTTTCCTCAATGATTATTGTCCCAGTCGCTTCTAAAAATAGCCCATTTTTTTTCTAAACTTTTTCAAAGGAAGTGTTTGATCTCAAATGTCCTTAACGGTTTCCGAACAACACTTAACGTCCACCCTCTTCTGTTCCTGGAGTTGCTTGTGTACTGTTTTAGCAGGTTTTAAGGTTAAAAAATAAAATAATAAGTATAATTTGATTACCGTAAGTTCGAAAGATGTATCAGTATTTGATCTTTCCGGAAATATTTATAGTGCAGTGCATTTTATTTTTCATAAAATTTTCTTAAATCTGTTTTCACTAAAAACTCAAACAAACTAAATGTATAGTGTCTCTTTCGCGGAAAAAACATATTTCACCCAAGCATTATTTTATAATTTCATTTTTTTACTTTCGTTAAAATAAAGTTTACTTCTATTGTCCCAAGTGAATAAAAATTCGCCACAGAAAAAACAAAAATAAATAAATCAAGTAACATAGTGATTTGTATATTTGAAAATTAAGTGTTTTCGAGTATAAACAAATACATTCTTCGCTGTTATCTGCAACGTATAGAATTTAAATTTATACACAAAAAACAGATAAAGCAGTGTTTTGTTATACAGTGCGAAGCGTCAATGTACTCTTCTACTAAATTTCAACGGTGTTTTAAGTAGAAAATTTTGTGGGACTACACTTAGTAATTGATAAAAAAGAGTGCATAAAAATCTGTTTATACCTGAAATATGATTCTTTTTACTCTAAGTCTGAAACAGTATTTCCCTATCGCGAACACACTTCTAATAATCAGAGTGGCCACAAATTTGAAATTAAAATTTGTTTTCAAGAAAGGTGTCATTTCTAAACCGGCATAAATATTAAAACAGTTATTGGAAAAAATAACTGATAAGAGTAGGTGTGGCAAAGAAAATTTTATTTAGAAGAACTAAAAAATTTTACACTTTTAAGATTTCAATAGATCCCTTATTCGCGGTGGTAGAAAGACTGAAACATACTATAAAAATAGAAAAAAATATAAATATGTTGTTAAAAAATATTTTGTGTATATCGTCATCCCAATTGTACTTTCGAGAGTGATACAAATGACTGAACCATAATAATTATTAAACAAGTCTCATACACAAATGCATACTGAAAACAATTATGTATGATAACGTTAACTTTAATGGTTTTCTCTTTTTAAAGTGAAGAATTTGTAACACATGTGAATGTTTTTATTTATTTATTTATTAATTATATATTTATAGTGTAAAATTCACTGGTTGTAATAATTAAAAATACTAGTTAAGCACTTACCCTTAGAAATATTCGTATCATATTTATTTATTTAAGATCTGCAGATTATTTGACGGTGGCATGTAAGGTTAAAAATATCGAAATAAACAGTATATCCCTATCGATAGGAAAATTGAGTAAACTAACTTTTGGATGGTCATTTTTCAAGTTTATATTGTTCTTATTCAGCATAGATTTGTCAGTTTAAAATAAAATTAACTCCATGGAAGAGAAAATATAAAAAGAAAAACACCGAGCTGATCAGTTTTGCATATTTTTTTTTATTAGCTTCATAATGTACTTAATTTTCAAAGATCAAAGAAAGATCTTCTAGGAACGCCATTAAAATTATGTGCTCAATGTGAAATTGTGATGTATGAAAATAAACAATATAAAAAATATATCACAAGCGCCTTTTTATCATGTGTATTAGTAACTAGAAGTTATAGTAAAATGTTTGAAAGATATGAAAGCATTTTGATATAATTTCGATATATGTAGTGATAAAATTTGCGATGTGTGGGTGACAGACATGTAACATCCGATTCAAATATAAATAAACACTAAATTTATTGGTTGTGATACATTATCAGTCTGTTCTTATTTGGCGTGCTTTTTTCATTTTCAGAGAGAAATCGGTAGAATAGTATGTATGAGAAAACACTAAATAAAAGATATAAGTTTGTGATTTTTTTCTAATTTCATGCTGTAGATATGTGTACGTATATTCAGCAACGTATTGAGTCTCGTTATTTTGAGATATTATGGGTGGTATATTATCTAATTATTATACATAGGTAAATCTGAAACTTTTATGACATCGTAAAGGGAGACATACTGTATGTTTGGAAAATTTGGAGTATAACTGGATTAAGAAGAATTTGAACTACTAGTTCATTTTAATCCGTTATACTTTGTCGAATTTTCTACCTATTCTACTAAGAACACATTTTTCGATTTCTCTCCGACCTCTTTTTTTTTAACTCTCAACTTCCAAAAAGCGAAAGTCGCAATCATCGCCACTTCCCGCTTCCGCACCGTGTTAATACCAACATTTGATTCGAGTTTCGAACTTCGACACTTAGTTCCTTGTTGATCTGCGTACTAGAAACACGATATGATCATGTATACAACACCCGAAACTTCTGCACCGTTCCTCGCGCCGGGTTTCAAATTTTCAAAATCCCCTGTATGTCCCTCCTACGCCCCGACTAAAAATCATGTGCGTACCCATCAACACTTATTATGTATCTCGGCCGTAAAGCCGTTTTAGAGTCGTCAATAACGCCGTTGTAATATTTATCGTTTTAAGTGTTAATAAAAGCAGCTTAGGCTCGCTTAAACGGCCCGTAAATAACGTTTAAAATCGGAAAAATACCGTTCGATCCATCGCTGTGACGTCGCGACGCCTCGGCCGCTGCCATCCTTCTGACGTGATACGCCGGATTTCCGCTAGTCGTGTGGCGGCAGCACCGTACAGTGCATCCCCACGCGCACGAAAAATGGGGTAATTTTTAGGGTTTAAGCCCACGCGGTTAATTGTCGTTTAAAAATTAAAAGACAACAATGACGGTGTTGGTTTTGGCAAAAGTTTTTTTAAATGGAGGAGTAGAGTTGGCATTCGATTTTTACGCGGTTGGACGATTGACTATGTTACAATTCAAATAATGCAGGATTTTAGTTTGAGCTTGCGATCCAGCGCCAAGCATCGAGCGTCTTTAACTTGGTTTTTGTTGATTACATTTGAGAATAAACGCGGTCCGTGTGCTCAAAATATTATTGTTGTGCGTTGTATGTTACGAATTGGTTACATTTGCTTAAAGTGGGGTGTGGTGGGGGTGATTATCACCAATCATTAAACTCTGATTAGATATATATGCGGACGGTGTCAGTCAATCCGTTATTTATTCAAACAAATAAGTATTTCAGTGTTAATTCAAAAGAAAAGTTCACGGGCGACTTGAATGCTCGAACAGCGGGAAACTAAACGTACACTGAAAAACCTAATCTATGACTCAAATAAATAACGTTTATAGAGAGAAAACAATTGTTTGGCTCGGTTTGCTTCCAACAAACAATGAACGATAAGAGGGTGTTGAATCTCCATGTAAAATAGTATAAACAATTCAATTATGGCTTGCACTCGGTGTGAGACCGTCGACTAACGAAATTGTTCTTTTGGAGGAGAACGCAAGTGTTTTCTCCTTGTAAGGTCAACACATCTTCGAACTTAAGGTAATTAAATTTACAGCCTGCGGTTTGATGCAACTCAAGCTATTATCTACTAAATCTCAACCATTACAAGATACCGAAGACGAGTATTTGCGGTTTTATGCGTTTGTGTTAATGCTAGCGTTGACATTCGCTTATTGAAAGGGCGTTTTCGCCGAAATTTAAATGGAATGCGAAGAAACCCGATTCAAATTGGAAGCACAATGCTGGAAACGGTAGTTGACGAAAATGATATTTTTGAAAGCGCTGACTCTAAAGTGGAATTGTTAATAGAAAATCGGGTTTTGGGTATGCTAATTTCATGCGAGCGGTGCGAGCTTCTTGAGTATCGGAAAGTTTATGAGACACTTAATTATTTTGCGCTGTTTGCAAACATTAGATATCATTCTTGCTACAGCAATTTTTCGATTCTGATGCTTGATTATTCTGATTTTTTTTCTAATTTGAAATATTGTCAGAAAAAACAAGTAAATGGTGTCACCTAAATAATTTAGTTAACGTTTGTGTTAATTTACTTTGATATGAACCGCAAATTCGCTGGTTTAGTATTCAGTTTAAACTAAAAAAAACTCTTTGTAACAATTTCTGTTTTTTTTTTTGGGAAATGTTATGTAGTACATATAGAATATATACATCCGTTCCCACATTTTTCAGGACCAGAAAGATTTTAAAAAATAAATAAAATTTGAAATTCGCCGCTTAAAATTTATATATCAAGTTATGTTTTAATTATTACAGCACGATGCTCAACAACTAACTG